ATATATATATATATATATATATATATATATATATATATATATATATATATATATATATAAAATTCGTTATAGTTATATATACTAAATTGTAAATTTATCCAGATAATATATATCTCCGTGTCATAATTTATACATAATATATATCTTCGTGTCTATAATTTATACATAATATTGTGAGTATATCCATAGAATATTTCATATTGGATATAACATAATCATCTAGGTCAGTATAGCCAGAAATTTCGCCTAGTAGCACCAGTAGTATTGAGAGGGGATGATGCACATAAACGTGCCCATGTACTTATGCTGTAATTCTAAGCAGAATCGTAAGTCTCGTAACTTGTTCTCGTAAAATTCGTCAGAACTTGAATAGATTTACAAGTCTATGCAACATCATATGTCGTACAATTACTCGTAAATATCTACGATTTCATGTAATTTACGATATTTACGAGTGATTGCACGATATATGATATTGCATAGACTTGTCTATGCATAGACTTGTCTATGCAATATCTACTCATAAGTTCTGACGAATTTTACGAGAACAAGTTACGAGACTTACGATTTTGCTTAGAATTGCAGTATTAGTTCGGAGCGCACATATACACGGGCACGTTTGTGTGCGTCATCCCCTCTCAATACTACCGGTACTACTGGGCGAGATTTCTGGTCACACTGATCTGGATATGACTTAATCATTTTGTAAAAATGATATGTATGGAAAACAGGACTACTGTCCTTGTTTGGCCGATACAATGAGAAACCCACACCGCCCGTTAATTTGGCCGCTGATTTTGGTGGTGGTGGCTTAATGTGCGCCCTTGGAATTATACTGGCGCTGTACGAACGATGTAATAGCAACGTAGGACAAGTGGTGGACGCGTCGATGGTAGAAGGAAGCGCGTACTTGGGCTCATGGTTATTCAGATCACAGAAATTACCAATTTGGGGAAATTCACGCGGTAAGAATATGTAAGTATTTTTCTTAGACACTCAATTGCTTCCTATATTATTAAGGCTTCAATTCAGAGTTCCGCGGCGAATATCCTTGAATTCTTTTCTTTTAAATTCTAAAATATTCTGTTCAACAGATTGGACGGTGGCGCACATTTCTACGACACATACGAAACGAAGGACAAGCGTTATATGTGCGTAGGAGCTCTAGAGCCGCAGTTCTACGAAGTCTTCCTGGAGAAGCTCGGCCTCACGAGCGATGAGATGCCGCAATATGAGAATTTCGAGGAGAATCGCCGTAAGATCACTGAGATCTTCAAAAAAAAAACCCAGGCGCAATGGTGTGCTATATTCGACGGCACCGATGCGTGCGTGACGCCGCTGCTGAGTCTGCAGGATGCCGCTTCACACGTTCACAATCAGCATCGGAAGGCGTTCACAACTGCAGCAAACGACGTGATACCAAATCCTTCTCCTCGTTTGTCTCGCACGTCAGCTGTTTCTGCGGGAACTCGTGAAAACCTGCAGCCCGGGCAAAACACCGTGGAAATCTTGACTGAGTTGAAGTATCAATCCAAAGAAATTAACGATTTCCTGTCGAATGGATTTGTTTATCAAGCGCAACGTATTTCTAAGGTTTAACGAAGAATGTTCAGAAACGATTACGCTTTAAATGTGAAAAGCTGTACATGAATAATAGCGCGACAGTAAATTTTTTATATAAAATATAAATGTACAATATGAAAGTATGGGTTTAATGGAATATATATATTATACATATAAGGTATATTGCCAAAAGAAATTTACGTTTTAATATTTACTCATTGATCAAAGAACGTTCCTCCAGTCTTCCACATAATGATAAGACCTTTAATGTTTCATTAACTTCGACGCGGATGTGATATATGTATTACATTATATTTTTATTATTTTATTCGATGAAAAATAAAGAACGTTAAGATCTCTAATAATTTACAAGATAATATTTAAATATTGTTACAATATCACAATATTATTGTATGTACATATATATAGCTATTTTATAAAAGAAACGTAACTCCCATGACAAGATATTTTATTATTCCGTTACCGACGCGAATTTATAAAATTGATTTGTGCAAAATATGCATTATTCGTCGGAACATCGGTTTTGTGATACATAGTAATCACATACATATATATTATATGGGATTGGTGATTGCAATCGTCAAAATGTTTCTTTATACGAAACATCGTCAACCAAATGCGAATTCACTTCAAGAAAGCTTATTCTGGTATAAAACTTTTATCTGCAATTAATTATATTGTATAAAATTCAAATTATATTGTATAAAATTCAAATAAAAAATTGAAATACATCCACAATCAAACTTATTCGATAGGACAGAAATCTTTTCTTCAGAGATGCTACAAACCCATCAGCACTGTACTAGCAGTAACGGTTACTTGCGTCGGTGCGCTAGCTTGTCTCACGCTCATTTCCCACGTGTCCAGCAACTGTGAGAGTGAGAAACGACGTGGAAGCTTGGCGATGCGGGCGTTCAGAGCTTTCTGAACGGCGCAGAGGAATGTCGTCGCCTCATATTCGTGTGGTGCCATGACACAGCGGGGCGGTGTTACGGGGTAATCCGCAGGAACTGTAACCGAGACTGGTGGGACGCACGGGAGATGACGGTCGTCGAGCCAGCATATCAATTGTATACACTTTGAGCCGTTCTGCTGAGCTGGATCTAAACTGACCTGAAATAAGAGAGCAATTAATTTCTTATAGATCTGACTCTTCTCCAAAGATTTAACTTTCTCAATCAGTCGTAAATGTGCAAAGATTTAAAACTATCGTAAAACTGTCAAATGTTCCGATTCGCGTCGAATCCTCTTTAGTGATACAAAACGCAGTCAAGTTCGTTACTCTGATCTCTCTCGCATTACAAATTTTCGATTTTTTAAAGAAAATATCGGATACACGTACTCCGAGCGTACATAAACCGCGAGAGCCAAACAGTAACCGATGAGAGATCTTAACAAAATTTTTACATACCTTAAATCGTTGGTCCAATCTGGCTATCTCTCCTTGCAGTACGTCCGGTATCTCACTAGGTGGTTCCTCGACTTTCTGCTTCTTCATCGGCGGCGGTAGATTTCTATTTTTATACACGTTAATATTGAATTTCGGATGACATATCCATTGACGTAAAATAAAAAATAATCTGTTGTTGCTTCGCACTTACTTGATCTCTGGTGCAAACAAGGCACCCAAATATGGTCCAAAAGTACGTTGTAATGTGTGATTGATTACCGGACTCTGGAGATGCGCGCTCACCGCCTCTAACAGCGGACTGAAGATCTGATGTTCCTTCAACGTCGTTACTGGCGGCCCTACACTACCGTCTCCTCTCTTGAAGTCCAACTTCTCCAAGACGACTTCACACTTCAACAACGTGTCCAGCGGCATACGTTTACTAGGATTCGACAGGATCTCTAAAAGCTTCTTCATCTTGCTGAGTTTGTCAACGTCTAAATAGTAGACAACAAATATGATGAGTACAAATAATAAGACAATTTCTTAAACTGCTTAATGCTAAAAGAACGTGACATTAAGAAAGCTATAATTTTATTTTTTAACTAAAAATTCAGACTAATAAGTCTATAAAGTTGTGGAAACAAGAAAGCTACATCCTGGTTTACATAAATAGAAATTTTTCATTTTTGAATACGTTTCTTTATCAAATTTCTCGTTTATAAATTCTCCACCGTTAATCAGTTATAATAATAATATTTATGTTTCCTTACTTCCTTCACTACCCATCTTAGCGATCATTCTTCGCAATGGCTCTATGTACTTGCTTAACTGTCTGACCTTGTCCCTATAAGCCTGATCCTCCTGCTGAGGACTTGGCGTAGCACCAACACCTCCAGGAGTGTTCAACGAACTGCTCGGCGATGGTGCCATACCTAGTTAAAGTTATTTGTAATACATTTCTTTTCTCTTCTTCTGCGGCTAAACATACTAAATCACTCAAGCTTACCAACGGAATTTACGGAACGAGACGGCCCTGTCATGATGCCATGCTGCGGACTCGGCGATGGCACCAATGCGGGGGATGCCACCATCTGATTACTATAAAAACAGTTATTGTTAATTTCCCATTTTATGCTTGCATTGTAACGAAGAGAAGATACACTTTTTCAAGTTTATTAAATAACATCCTTACCTTGACGGTGCTCCCAAACCGGCTGGGCTCGGAGCCGAAGGAGACGGGCTCTGTCTCAGGAATTGATTAGGTGCAACATTGCGTGGACCAGGAAATCCAGTATTCATCATTTCGCCTGGCTGAAAATGTAAATAGAATATTATTATAATATTAGTAATTAATTATGATCAGTTTGAGGAATTAGCCAATTTCATTTATTTATATCATCAAATCTATATTTTTCTACTCAAACAAATGATTTAGTACCAAATTGTACACACTACAATATCAATACGCTAAATAAATAGTGAATATGATATGTAATTACATACTTTTCTTTGAATATGATTCAACTGCTGTTGCATCTGACCAGGTCCCAACTGTCCAGGACCAATTTGAGTCATTTGCTGCGGCATGCTAGTCTGTATGCCACCTATCGGACCTCCGATTTGATTACCCATCTGACCTGGCAGCTGATTTTGCATCTGCGACTGGAGACAACAAACCAGTGAAATCAATGATCTCTTACAAGTAATTTCTCATATAAAAATAGTACATTCTTTTACATGTAAAGATAGCTCTAAGGACACAATATATAAAGATCATGTACATACCTGCATATTTTGCTGCATCTGCCCTGTAGCTAATTGGTTCATTTGTCCTGGCACTATCTGATTCATTTGCTGAGGCATATTACCTTGTCCCATTTGATTCATCTGGGTTAGCATGGGGTTGTTCTGCATGGTTTGTATGGGACCCATGTGACTCATTGGACCACCGGTTTGAGCCGGCATCATGTTCATACCTGGCATTTTGTTCTGCATGCCAGGCATATTCATCGGTTGACCAGGACGTTGATTTAAAGTTTGCAAAACTAACAAAAATCTTAAATTGTAGTGCAATTTAAGCAAATGTATATTTATTGTGAACTAAATTGCTACTTTAAATTGCCTATTAAATAATTTTCAAAAAATAAGCTTGAGAGCATATAAATATATTAATATTAACATATAACAATATGAAGAAACGCAATTTTAAATATAAATGACTAGAAATAATTAGCAATCCTTCAGCTTGTTAGTAAATCTTAAATTGTATCAAAATCTTAAACTGTAAAGCAGTTCAGGCAAATATATGCTTATTGTGAGCTGAATTACTACTTTATATTACTGAGTATTCAGTGAATCTCAAACATTAAGCTTGAAGGCACACAATTGTGTGATATTAATATTAACACATAACAATATTTATATTATCTCCTGTTATAAAATAACTTATTTAATGAGATAATTTATTTTCCTTACTGAGGTATGTAAAAAAAACTTAGCAATATAAATGCAATAATAATAAATATAAATAATAAATATAAATTGTAAATATAAATTAATAGTAGTGATAGATAACTCTCTGACTCTCTAACGATTCTTTCATCTTTCTAACATTATTCTGTCCTCTCTCTCTATTATTCGCTGCAACAATTTTCCCTCATAAATTTGTCGAACGCCTCCTTCAAGGGATAATTGAGGAAGTTCTTCAACATAGTTCGCAACTTGCTAAAATGTTCATTCCGCACTTTCTTCACTACCGAATACTCGTAAGCGTATTTGTAAGCGACATTGCGAATTCGGAGTTTCTTGTCTAATGTCATTTTTACAACCATAACGTCTCTGCGATCTAACTTTCGTAGATTGCCTGGCCATGCGTCCTCGTGAAACTTCAGTTCCATCATCCGGAGAGTCGGGTGCAGGTAAAATTGCATATCCCTGTACTTCCGTCGAGCGTCGCGGATGAATTCGTGCGCGACGGTTAAGCGAATTATATAAGCGTGTATTGAGCGTCTCACATCGTAAATTATGTTCATTACTTCGTCGGAGACGGGGTTGCGCGTACCGGACCTAAGCCTGCCTCTGAGATCTATCACTTCCGGCACGAAAGAATAACCCGGGCTAATGTACCACTTTCGCGTGAGGTTACGATATAGCAGTGTTACCTTAAATTTAAAATTCGTTATACCGAGTATCTCATTACCATTGGGTTTGTAGACGAACTTAATGCGCTTATCGTTCTGTACATGCATTTCCAGAGATCCCGTGCCGTCCTGCTTGAGTTTGTTGTTGTTCTTAAGCCTCTGCAATTGCGCTTGATTTAGTGGTATCATCACGTTTCCCACGATGATCTGTTTACTTGAAGAATTGTTAACACTTGGAGTTCGCAACACGCTTTTAAGTCGTTGAACGTGCATTGATTGTTGACCGATTACGGGTTGTTGAATACTCATAGGTTGAACGTTCACTGGTTGTTGAACACTCGCAGATTGTTGAACACTCACGGGTTGTTGGACACTCGCACGTTGTTGAATATTCGCTGATTGTGGAATGCCTGCAGGTTGTTGAACGTTCACTGGTTGTTGAACGATTACAGGTTGAACACTCGCAGATTGTTGAACACTCACGGGTTGTTGAACATTCGCGGGTTGTTGAATATTCACTAATTGTGGAATGTGTGCAAGTTGAACGTTCGTAGATTGCTGACCGCTTCGAAATTTTCGAACTCTTGAAAGTCGAAGATTTGTGGTGTGTTGAGGAGTGGTTAGACGTACAATTCTTGAAATTTGCTGAAAATTTATTGGTTGTTGAACGTTCACAGGCTGCTGAGCAGACGAGGATACGGTAGCCATTTGTGGTGGAGATGGGAATTGCGGCTGTGACATTAGCATCCTAGGCACATGTTGACTTGAATCGAAATCACGTTGATTCTCCATATTCGCGTATTTCACATGATACACATTATTGTTCTTCATTTTTCACGTCGACAGAATCACGTTGCGGTAGAATATGCTCGTGTCTTCACTCAACAATACCAGAAGCTTTTAGATACTACGATCAATATGGCCGTACCGCTCATCCATGCCAAGGTAGTCCTGAACAGTTATCATGAAATTATTTGTGAAGGCCCCCGGTCGAAATATTCAATTATTCCCTAAATATCTATCGTACTTCGTAGAGAAGACTCTCGATGGAAAATCTCTCTGAATAGTTTTACAATATCTGATAAACAGTCTCGGTCTGCAAAGTCAACAACGCTATCATAATGTTTGTCGTAGATCTCTCAATCACGTTCATTAAGTCGAAATATGACATCGATGGTGGCCACGTATGTACTGCTACGAAATCGAATACAACAGGAAGGTAGAATGCAGCACGCGTGCGATAGCATTAATTTACTGTATAACGTGCAATAGCTACGACGATCACGATCATTGACGAACGACAGTAAGAAAAAAAGGAACACGAAAATTGGAGACCATGAGACTGTACGACTGCAGACACCATCAGAAGTCAACAGAGGGACTAAGCAAACTGAGCTAATCGCGGAAGCCAGCGGACCCTATACGTGTCTCTTGTTTCCTGTCTCTATTATTTTACTTGAATTCAGACTTTTCTTTACGGCCCTTTCACTCAGGTACCAAAACTAACGTTTCTCAAAAAAATCACAGGTCCGAACATATTCGTACACGTCTTAAGGTAACAGCGGTTAAGCCAGAACTTGACTTCATACGTGGAGTATTAGCTAACTTTTGTATCACTAACTTTAGATGATAAACACTCATTGTTACGAGACAGAAGACCCTAGAGATAGAATTCGTTAGAGGCAAAACATTCTAGCTACAAAATGACGTCATCAAACTCGATATATTAAAAAGACATTTTGAAGCGTGTTAATAGACCGTCGTATCCTAGATGCTTCAAAATGATTTATGCGATGATATAATCAGTCCCATGTCTAAAAAAAAGGGACTCTTGGGGACCTATAAAGTATCTAGTGAATTGCGTATGTTAGTAGTACAAAAATCACTTGGAAACAAAGCTTCAAAAATAATGCGTCCTATATTATTTTATGAAAATGTGAGCCACGGATTAAGCAGGCCTGGACTAAACGAAAAAAAAAAAAAATGGACTAAACGAAAAAGAAAAAATTATAACAATAGCAGCTATATAATATATTAATATATGCTATATAATAACGATAATAATTTTTTATAAAAAAAATTTTAATAATAATATAATAATTTTATTAAATATGAGAAGAAATTATACGTAAAAGTAAAAACAATCAGACAACAAACACAAAGGTAATGTGATGATGTGATGAAGGAATTTGCCATTTCCAAAGTAAAACACGATATGAACTTTCGTACTTTATTACACTCGTGTGCAGGACACCTTGAACACTTTTTTCTTGACATATTTAGAGACACATCCATTCGAGACACGTCGTCCAATAAGACTTATCATATGAGAGTTACTGTAAATCAAGTTTCCCCAATTGGTCGGTCAATTCTAAAATGCATGAAAGAAAACTTTTAGAAATTGTCCTGTAAACGAGTATTCTTAAACTTTGTAACCCTTGGTCTACATTAGGTGATTTAAGTTTTAAGCTTCAAAAACTAACCAATCACAATCAAATTTGAGGAGAATAACCAATTATAATTGGTTAGTTTTTGAGGCTTAATCTTAAATCACCTAACACAAGGCTCGGCACATTTTGTCCATTTCGGTCGATTCTCGGAAGCTACGGCTTCTATCTCCCTCTTGCCGTGCGGCGGGCCTGAAAAGTGACGGTCGTGCCTCTAAGCTTGGAGCCGCGACCGTCACTTGCACGGCTCGCCGCGCGGCAAGAGGGAGATAGAAGCCGTAGCTCCCGAGAATCGGCCGAAAAGGCCAAAATGTACCGAGCCCTGACCTAACAGACCGGGAATAAATGAATGTACACATCAGCATCACGTGAATTACTTCCGTTGATATTAAATAATAATACAAAAAATAAATCATTACATGAGCAAACTTGAAGAAAGTTTTAAAAGAAATAATGATTTCTACTGCCGAAAAAAAACATACATCAAAGCTCAAAATAATTGTGAAAGACAAAAAAGAGAGAGAAAAAGAGAATGGGAAACGAAAGGGAGAAAAGAGATAGATTTTATTCTTGAACATTTGACAGCTCGAAATTAATAAGTTCTAAGGGCAGTATTTATAGTTCAATCTTATATTTAAAGCTGTCTTAAGTTTCATTGGTTACACGACATCTGAAGATAAACTTAAGACAACCTAAAATCTAAAGCGGAAATGTGAATATTGTTCTTCGTCACTTTACTCTCGTTCGATTGTTATAAATTCCAGAATCTCTTCAACACACTTCATGAGTTGTAAACTCAGAATCCTCAACGACGACATAGGGTGTGTTTGAAAATAGCTGTGGTTACTGTCAGTAAAAATGATAAAGTTGGCAGCATTGAGAATTACTGCTGCTACGTTTCGTATCTCCCATCAGTAAATTAGTTAATGACATATGTAAATTTCGTTATTATAAAAAAATAAACTATTGTAAGAGAAGCTAACTGCAACATAATTATGGAAAAATATAAAAAATATAAACAAATTGATATAAGAAAACAATTATTAATTACCATTTATGTTTTGGCAACACCAGACTCTTATCGCACTGTAAGTGAAAGATTTGGAGTTAGCAAATCAACAGCATGGTTTAGTGTCAAAAGAGTGGTTCGAGCATTTACGACATCCGAAATCAGTTTATCAAATGGCTTATGAAAAAACTTATGAAAAAACTTATAAAAAAACTTATGAAAAAATTCAAATAACTTGGACAAATATACAGAGGTTATTTATTATAAATACAATTTTTTAATTTTATTTATTAATTTTATTCAGTCCTTGATAAACTCACTTACTGTTCAAGGTTATGCATCAATATCTAACACCTAACACTGCCTAGAACAAACAACTGATTTACTGGTGGGAGATACAAATTGCAGTAGCAGTAATTCTCAATGCTGCCAATTTTATAATTTTTACTGACAGTAACCATAGCTATTTTCAAACACACCCATATTCGAACTCCAAGGAATGATGTATTGTAAATTAGTAGTAGTAGTAGCAGTTACAGATCACACGTGTTCCTGAGAATTGACTGGCATGTCGAGATTTTTTAGTTTTGATTCGACAATATTAACGTTTAACGTGTTTACAACATTAATTTTAAACAATATCATGTTAAATTTTGATTTTACAGCTATCTTCTTCTGCATCAGCCGATTTAGAAAATTTTTGTTATCAGTAAGAGTTTGTATAGTGATATTAATATTATTTAGTTGGTGGACATATATTTGTTAGAAGAATGCTGTTGTTTTGCAAAGAGTATAGAGAAGCATATGTAATATGCTCATGATATGAAGTGCTCACGCTTTTAAACAATAGTTTTAAATATATATGTTTAAATTTCAAGTTTAATCAGTGTCAAGTTGAAGGAAAGAGATGCTGACAAGTATTGAAATTAAACTAGAGAAATGGTAACAAAATGAAGTCAAGAATACATGTATGTGATGATTAGTATTTTGTATGCAATTAAAAATATTAATATGTCGGAATTTAAGAAATTATACTAAAAAGAAAGTGTCTTATATAAGTGTTTACATGCAACATTTATCAAAGAAAAGTATACAATAGTAGAAATAAAATAAATAAACCAACAATTTGAAGGGAAGAACAATTTTAGCACAGGCTAGAGTTAATTAGATCAGTTTTTTTTTAGTTACACTAGAACTTAGTATTTTTTCTTTCAGCGCCATTATATATCTGTTTTACTTTAAAATGTAACTTAGTTCAGCTAAAAAAAACAGATCTATTATTACTAATACATGCATTAGATAATGCTAATGAATAAAGTTTTAATCGCTCTTAATCAAATTAAAGTAGGTGATAAAGCTTATAAAACCACACGTGCGTTTATACTAGTGTAAACAACTCCTATAAAATACAGTAAGCAACTCCTATAAAATACAGTAAGCAACTCCTATAAAATACAGTAAGCAACTTCTATAAAATACAGTAAGCAACTCCTATAAAATACAGTAAGCAACTCTTATAAAATACAGTAAGCAACTCCTATAAAATACAGTAAGCAACTCCTATAAAGACAGTAGACTATAGGAAGAAAAGGTATCATATAGATCAATGGTTAGGCAATTATTTTTCATAATTAGAATGTTTTATTTATGAGTGAAATTGAAGTGTACATGAGCTTATATTCTACAAAATAAATAAAAAAACCATTCCAGTGTCAACTTATGTGTCAACAAATGAAAGAAAGGCTAGTAATTTATTTTTTATCCAAACAATCTTTTGGAAATTATGTTAGTCTAATAATCTGGTAGTGAAACATAGTGTAGTCAAGAAAATTTTTTTTGAAGTGTTCAAAGTTTGAATTACCTGACCAACATAATTTTCAGAAGATTAGCTATAGACAGAAAGAAAGTACTTCTCTTTTGAGATGTTAAATACTTACGATTAGTTGTAGCATTTGATGGTGGTTGTGGAATTATGCCTTGATGATTGGGACCAGGGCCTCCTATACCCATTATCTGATTATTCCCAGTTCCTTGGCGTGCCAGTGTCTGGAGAGCACCGATTGGATCTGGCATGCCTTGATTATTAGTACCGGTAGTACCTGGTGCATTACCAGCAGCTCCCTTTTTGGAATCTGCAGATATTAGTAAGACATTACTAAAGAAATATTACATATACAAAATGTGTAATTTTCATATGCTAAAGATTATAAGATCAGATATTTTAAAATTACTTCAGATATCTACTGTTATTATAATTTTAGTGACATTACTCATTTCTCTGACGTGAAGAATTAATCTGGCCACAAAACCCAGATACTCCTCCTGAGAAAAGAATATATTAGTGGTATTAAGAAATTTGCAATATAAGCAATTGTTATATCACAAACCTTAGACTTTGCCTTTTGGAAGACATGATTTTCCATTTCAACACTGTTCCGTGTCGTAGGCATTCCAGACATCTGTACAGCTTCATCTCTGTTGAAAACATCAAGAACATATTTTTAACTATGGTATTATATGACACAAATAGCTGATTTAACAGCTGGTCGGTTCTAACCTCGTAAGATCTGATTTAAAGTTCTACTAGTTCTCCCACAATAAACTTCTCTTTATGATAGTTTGTTAATTAATGTTCTTCTTCATATTTATCAATAATCGAAACTCACATTTTTGCGACCACACTTTGTCGAAAATGTGGAGTTTTCCATGAATCGTCCGCCGCCATTTGTGGTTGTTCAATAACGACTGCCGACGGATGCATGATATAACAGGAACAAACCGAAACCTCTTCTCTTGTTCGATGTTGATGTTTCACAACACGTTGTTTATATTAAATATGCAATTATTTGTTACTTATTTTAATTACTCAAGATAATCTCAAAATTGAATATGTGACTGTACAAGTTTGCGAACGTAAATCTCAAGGAAAACCAACCATCACTCAGAAATTGGGCCGAATTTTGCGCATGCTTGGCGATAGCGTCATCAGGGGTGCGTTCAGATTCCCTACCCGGGTGCACTCTGTTACTAGAAACACTATAGTATATGTCACATAACTATAGCACTTCTTGTATTAGAGTGTACCCGGGTAAGGAATCTGAACGCAGCCCAGGGTGGCAATTCTCAACATCATGCGAATGAGATGCGTATACGAAAATCCTATAGTTCACGTTATGTATACTATAAATTTTCACATGCGTATCTCGTTTGCACATCGTCAAGAATCGAGCGGGAACGTCCCCCCGATTGACCACGGTACGATTGGACACACCAACCGATGCAAAGCATTATCTAGTAAATTACCAAGTCAAACCAATCATTACAATAGGGAGTTTTTGCAAACATACAGCGGTGCGTTCCGAAATTCACTGCCAGTACTGAAAATCTATAGTTTATGTTACGTATACTATAGAATTTCAGCACTGGCAGTGAATTTCGGAACGCAGCCGGTATAGATACGATAAACGCTAAAATGACGCCATCAAGTCAAAAGTAGAGAATCTCTGGCTGCATTCAGCAGACTCAACAGTTGCACAACAGTTGAGTAATTTGTCAATGTAATTGGTCTAGATTTAGGGATCTAATAGCAAGAACCAATAATCGTTGATTGCTCACTGAGCGCTTTTTCTACTGAATGCGCCCAATGAGACATAGATAATGAGTCATAGTCGTAGACGTAAAATAAAGCAGAGGAAAACGTAAACGTAAATCATGAAAGGATATTAGCCTTACGCTTACGTTTTTCTCTGCCTTACTTTACGATTACGACGCTTACGTCTCGTTCTCTGCCTTAGCCCTAATTCCTCATGAATTCTTAAAGTGTTCTAGGAATTAAGTTACGAAGTATTCGCTATAATGAAGTCCTAAGGAATATTTCAAGACGAACTTACTGTGGTTAATTCTTCAAGAATTCTTCGGGTATTCATTTTTCTAATTCTATATCTATTCTTTAAAATGAATTCTCTAGAAACTTCTGTTGATCTCTATGCTATCTGGGCCTCCAATAGGCGCGTCAAAATTTGAAACTTAATCGTGCGCGTGGGGTGTAAATTTTACTCCACATTATTTATAAATATTAAACCAATTAATATTTTTCATTTCCTATATCCATCGTTACACGTAAAAGAATAGCTTTCCAATGGAGAATTGAATTCTCTATTAGAAAGCTGTTCTCCTATTGGATATCGGATGTCGTACGTCAAACATCGGACGCGGTGTGAATCTTGCATTAATAACTCGACGCTGTTATAACCTTTTCATGCGTTTCTTGCTATCCAGCGGCGATGTCGATCACGTTTTGACGCTAAAATTGAGCGTCGAGCGTTAGCATGAAAAGGCACCTTAAGGTTTCTCTCTGATCAGGCTCTCCTCCACTGACGTCGCTAGCGAATCGGTCTCGCGTGGCGCAGTCTAACGACGGGAACGTACATCAGAGTACGCGTCGCTGTGTGCGTGTTGCCTCTCGACAGCGGTGCTCGTTTCTCGCCGCTCTGCCTCGCCGAATCGAGGGTGCTGGTGCACACCAGAGTCGAGTGCAACAACTGGCAAAATGAAGATGGCGGACGGACCCACGATCCTGCGAAGAAACAGGCCCGGAACAAAAGCAGAGGTTATTAACATCGTTTTCATTACATTCGGGAACCTTTGCACCAGCGTTTCATCCGGGCGGCGTTCGTCCGCCCGGAAACTACTCACCCACTACGCCAACCGCTCTATCTCCCGGAGATCTCACGACACTTCCTCCCTCCTTGACACTTGTCCGATGAAAATCAATGACCGCTTTGCGAGATAAATCCTGAGAGACACTGTTTACAGTGCGAGAATGCATGTCTTCCTCGAACTAGTCGCGTCGCAATCGAATACTGTTCGACGCGAAATGTTTCACGATTCGCCACTACCTGGGAGTACCTCGCAGCCCTCACCGGAGCGTGACGAAATTGACAGATCGTTTTATTTTACCTCGTATTTTGCTGCATGAGCTGTCTCACACAGATCGTTGTCGGTCCCGACATTCTTCGTCGATTATTGCATATCGGAATACATGTCGGCGTAAAGCTTCTCTGTATCTTATATGTCGCGTCTATTTTTACACCATGATGATGATATATGGTGAGGGGACACGGGATCGATGGTTTAACGACGCGCGTTGACGTAAGCATAAATTGTTTACCGCCTTTATATTACACTGAGTTTTTTTATCCATGTCGTAGGACTTCAGTAGGTGGCCTGATGAGCCGTTCGAGGAAATGGATAGCACACTCGCTGTACAACAGTACATTCAACAGATGATCAGAAGAGATCCATCCAATATTGATTTAATACTTAATATGCCGGAGAATAACGATGAGGGTGTGTGGAAGTATGAGCATCTCAGGCAGTTCTGCATGGAGCTCAATGGCTTAGCGGTGAGATTGCAGGAAGAATGCCATCCTGAAACATGCACACAGATGACAGCCACTGAACAATGGATATTTTTGTGTGCTGCGCATAAGACTCCCAAAGAGTGCCCTGCTATTGATTACACTCGACACACACTGGATGGAGCAGCGTGTTTACTCAACAGCAACAAGTATTTTCCCAGCAGGTATCTCCTTTGTCACTGTTACTTTCTGCTGAATTGTTGTGTTTGTTAATATACTCCCGCCTTCAAAAAGACTAATTGTACAACTTAATATATATATAGACTTTCAAGATATATTGCTAAAATAAATGCGACAGAACTATTAGGAGCCATTCGCGGGCTTTAGTGAATTTCTTTTCATCATAAGAGGACATTCGTATTAAGCTCCATTGACATACTGAGCTGAAGAAATCAAGTTTTCATTCAATCCTTCCATTCCTTAGTCTGATTTATAATCATAAATTTATAATTTTATAAAAGAGTAAAATATAATTCTATAAAAATTCTATAAAAATTCTAAAAATACTATATAATGATCAATACAATGATGAAAGTCCGGGAAAAATTCTCGGAATATTTTAGAAGTGCGCTTAATCAATTACAAGTCATTCTTTGAATATATCTTTTTATTTTTATGTACTTTGCAGGGATTTTGAGGATGCATTTCCTCTCTTATGACATCAATTCTAGATTCTAAATTTTCATGGCAAGAGACCAGGAACCTTAAAGAATTGTTATTCACACTAAAACTCACGACTGGCTCTCGATAGTCTTATTTCTCTTACTGTAATATTCCCAATTATAATTGGACAAGAATCATGTGAATTTATGCAATATCTGAATTTCTGTTGCAGAATCAGTATTAAGGAATCTTCCGTAGCAAAATTGGGTTCTGTCTGCCGTAGGGTTTACAGAATCTTCTCTCACGCATACTTCCATCATAGAACGATATTCGACGAATTTGAGAACGAGACTTTCCTTTGCCGCAGGTAACGTTTCAGTTTAACGTCCATGTCTTGCTACTTGTTTTAAGTGGATGGAGTACACAGGAAAAACGTAAACAATAAGACTTTTGAACAATAATAAAATTGACCGATTACAATCGATTATTCTTCGACAGTAAGAAAAATCATCGACTGCGGTTAGTCAATTTGCTTACTGGTTAAGTTTTATTGCTTACGTTTTTCTATGTGCCCTTCCTGTACTGTAACAGAAGAACCATGTGAACTTTCCGTTTCAGATTCACTGCTTTTGTAACAAAATACAATTTGATGTCGAAGGATAATTTGATAGTACCTATTATGGAAGGCGATGGCGCAACGGAAAGCGAAGCATAGGACTTAACGATGCGGTCGTATTGCCCAAAGTCGAATTGCCAGATTTAGTAAGAGGAGCTGATAATAATCACACGTTATTCCGTATGGGGTCAGTAAAAACTCACTCTTGCTTGAATAGTGTGAATTTCTTATGATCTTTTATATCTGTCCCCGGCACCATTAAATGGGAAATTTTTCTCGATGAGTATTTTGATAATTGTTAATAATTTCTCGATAGTTTTGGGTTCTCGATGATAACTCTATGGATGTAACGTGGAGTATTTCTCGCGTCCATATCTTTCGTGTTTGTCCCCTTCATTAAAAGTCTCTGAACGGTCGTTAAAACGATATGAGAATTTATTAAAACTATTGTCGAGTTCCCGAAAACACGCTACGTGGTAATTTAAAGCATGTTAATAATATATCATATTTGAAGTACGATGTTACAAAACTTTTAACCCTGTGCCGTCGAAGTTACTACTGGCTACTTCCCGCGGATGGAAGTGTCTCATTCTATCTCTCATTCTATATTTTGAATGTATAACGATTAGATTTACTATTCTGTAAAAAGATTACGTCTCTATGCAGGGTGTCTGAAATCTTTTTTACAATAATTTGTGGGAAAGTAGAACGAATTAAACGGAACAGAAAAGCTCAATAGTATCTTTTCATTTTTCTACTTCAGCTTACAATGCCAGAAAGTTCTTAACTTATACTTTATTTTTATTTTACATTTTTCCTACACTTCCTTTTTTTTTTCTTTTCGCCACTTATCCTACTTATTTCTTATCCTATTCCTTTTCTTTTTTCCTTTTTTACTTTCATATCCTAGATATTTCTTAACATATACTTTGGCAAATTCCATCCTTTGGATTTCTTATCCTATATTCTCGGAGGTTTGCCATGCCTTCCGAAAGGAGTGCGAGCATAAAGAAATTTTTCCGTTTCTATGACGTACACTAGACTAGTGTACGGCCTGCTGTGCTACGCTCGCACTTCAAAAAAGCTCAGTATTATTTTGCAAAATTCGCAGTAGTTAATGAGGAATTAATTATTTTGTCTGAGCTATATAATGAGCGCACAGAAAGCGGCAGCCGAAAGAAAGAGATCTTCGGCCGGCGCGCGACCGTGACACTCGCGAATCGCTACGTCCCCCTGCCCATAGTTATGAGACACAGCGAGGCTTGATACACTAACACATGTGTATGATATATCCGTGTGCCGAAGCGTGTCAAAAGCTGTTACTTTTCTGTCGCGACGATAAGAGGACGAAAGATAATTATCTTTCGACATACGATCCTGTATTACACGCCGTGTCAACTCTACGTACACGTATGTTGCCGAAACGGCGACACGTTTCGATTCAGCATCGATTCGATACACGGATGTCATGCATATGTGTTATAGCGAATTCGGTAGCTTGCACTAATGCGTACTGAGGCTTAGTATAATAGTAATAGTACATTCTTATATTTAAGATCAGACAAAATAATTAATTCGTCATTAACTATTGCGAATTTTGCAAAATGGTATTGAGCTTTTCTGCTACGTTTAATCCTTTCTATTTTCCCGCGAATTATTGTAAAAAAGATTTCACCCTATATATTGAAATGTATGTAATGGAACAATATATTGTATAATTCATAACTTTCATTTATACTTAGTTACGTAAGCCAGCGATTGTTTGTAATTTCGGGAAGTATTATTCTGTCGTGTACGATATCCTAAAAATTATATTTATCAACTCTATACTAATGTCGGATTATGATTATGACCTTACGTCTGTCGAAATTAGAACGTTTCTAATTTGAGAAATGAAAATTATATAGACGGATCTTTTAACGTTACATACGTTGTTAGCTGATAAAGAGATTCAATTGAATCGAGGACGTTTCTCTAACGAGCTATGTTATTTTATACTATCTCTAAAAAGTTGGCTTTTTGCAAAACGAAAAATGTCTTTCAACCTGAACACATTGACCAGACTGTACTTATCACGTAATTACTTTTTTTTACCATAAGATTTAAGAAATCTAATTTTAAATCATGATTCTTATAAACGTTATAAACGTATTAAAACGGTTAAAACAAAATCCCGTTACACAGAGATTTCCGACAAGCTGAAAGCTTCGAACGTTTGTTGTCAGTGTGTATACTTGATGATACCAAGAAAGAAAGAGAGAAAGAGTACGAATTTATATAAACAATTGTAGAATTTTACATTGCATTACTGTAAGGACAAAAAAGTGTTGATTTAAAATGATTGTAGTAAATGTCATCATGTAGTTGATCTTTGTAAAACCTATTATTAGCGAGATATATAGTGATAAATGTGCTAGCTACTGTTATTTATTATATAAACATAATATAAATACATATATACATACATACATATATACACACACACACACACACACACACATATATATATATATATATATATATATATATATATATATATATATATATATATATATATATATATCTGTGTGTGTATATGTTTGTATATCCAGTACAGCAATATGAATTGAGCAGGATGCCAGGCTTTACTATCCCGCGCGTTGTCGACGAAATTTCGTACTTCACTACGGAAGACTTTGGGACAGATCGTTCCGTTTTACATATTAGACATAAAGGTAGACTATAATAAGCTGTCGCTAATGAACTTATTAGCGTGAGCACGAGCGTCGTTTCTTCTCCTTTTTTAAACGGATGACGTAGTTTCAGTGTAAGACGACGTGTAAGCGAGCGTTTGTAAGAAAAGCGGTTCCATAATTAAGAGAAGTAGCGTTTGCAAGATCCGATTTTATGGCAGTGAACAGAAAATAATACCGTGACGAGCGACGATATCGACTGCGTGTTCGTTGTAACGTTTTCATCCTATCGAAACTGTGTTCACATGAATACACACACGCGCACACGCGTACTTTCGTCGCGAGATCTTTCTATGATTTTATCGAAAGGTGCAGTAGTTACGAGTTAATCACGGCACAATAAATCAACTCGTAATTCACACATCGGCGTATACATGGGACACGAAAGTTGTACTGCCCTAATACACTTCCGGCAATGAGATAATTTCCGGCCGATTTTTGGCACTTGTAAATCGCGCGTCTCGAGCATCCACGCGTCCCTTTTCGTATCCGAAATGCGCGAGAGAGACGGGAAGGATATTGTAATACTGTACATAGAACTCTTGTAAATACGAAGAAGTGGAAACTCGAGATAAAGTATCGATAAATACGTCGAGTCGCGTGTCGAAATAACAATAACATAATATGTATATGACGTGTGATTATATTATGTAACAAATATCTATGTATTGATAGAGAATAAAATTTCTACATATAACTTGATTTTCAACATCTCCTCTCCCCTTTTTCCACTATTATACTTATATATAAGTATTTATGTATAATAGTATATTTTACTATTATATTATGTGCTTATAATGCTTATAGTGCTTATGTGTTTATTAGTAACAAAACAGTAACAATATATAAAATTTGTAAGTTACAATTCCGTTACAATTTCCGTAAGTTAAATTTTTGTTATACACTTTTACACGTATCAAATTTCAAGAGATCTTTGATAGCTGAAAATCATTAAAATTTAATGCCATAAAGTTGATAAATTCTCCTCTAGTAAAGCCTATCTTTTTAGCACATGTAAATCTTATTACACGCTCTCTTTGAAGAGAAACGTACTATCCAAAGAAATACTACATTTCCTAATCTACTGTTATTAACGTACTGTTCAAGATATACTGTTCAACGTACTGTTGAAGACTATTCCATCAAGATTTGATTTTCTTATTTTTCTTTGAAAATGATTCCGCTTGCGTATCTCTCGGCCTTTTCTGTTTGATTTTCAATCCCATCGCAGCGAATTGCTTCATATCGTTGCGAGGCGCATAATAGTTTACGCCTTCTACTTTAATGCTTGCTTTCGAATTCACTGCATCTTTTTCTTCTGAAAAATTCGCACAATCTCCAGGCGCTTGGTACCTGAAATGTATATTTATATTAATGCGATATGTGTATGGGAGAAAGCCAAGGATTTTCTGGCCGATATTTCAATTATTCAGTTATATTAGAAATTAACGATAAAGCAACGCATAAAACTACGTATGTATGTATAATTCAGCACAATTAAATTCCTTTTATATTTTTATATTTCCTTATTATTAATAATTTTGTAAAACATGCTATGATGACAAAGTTATGTTTCCTTTAAGATGCTAAAGATAGACTTCTAAGTCTTGAGATGTTCGCGAAATAGTGAATTAAACAAGAATGCCTTGTGCAATTTCTTCCAACGATTTCGGAGATCATACAAGTCAGTTGATTAAGCAAATCTCACCCAAGCTCGGTTGTGTCTTTAATATTTTTAGTTAACAAGATGTGAATTTCCGGCACTTGATGAATTTCGTCGGTTACGTTCTCCTTCGATTTTTTCGACCTCCTAAAATCAACCGATAAATTAGAAATTGGCGTTTAAACCGCTATTGGAATTTATCAACGTTCGTTTGCTCAACTCACTTGGTATAACGCAACTTGGTGACTTGGTGAAGACCCTCGTGTTTCCTCTTGAAGAGCTCTACGCATGATATAGTTTTCCCAATGGCTTGCCCGACTCCGGTCCAGACGACGCTGTTATAATTAGGAAATTCTTTCAACGCGTAGCCAAGGACATTTCTAATCTTGGTGCCGCTCTTCACCTTCAACCAAATGTCAAGTAAGTAAAATCGTATAATATCGCGTGGACCTGAAAGTTTCGAAGACTTACATGCATGCAGATAAATTTTTCTGGCAAATTCTTTATCGGTATCGTAGTACTTTCCGTATCGGTCGATCTTTCTCCTGACTCTTCCAGCTTCAGCTTCTTCTTCAGCTTTGACCTTCCCATCTAAAACAGAATGAGAACAAATTTTATAGAGGTAAATGTTGACCAAAACTTAAACCTGAATGATCTTAGCGAATGATTTTGAGCGTATTGTAAAATTAATAGTGACATTTCAGACATAAATATTGTGGTATTTTCAATATTTTAAAACTGACGACAAAATTGACAAAAACGTTAGACTATACAAACATAAGAACTAACGATAGAGTATATTTACCTCTTCCTTTTCTTATATTTTTTCTATTCCTTTTATTATATTCTTTTCTATCATTTTTTTTTTCGTTATTTTTGATATTTATTTCTTCCGCGTGCCTCTTTCGTGTCACGAAACATTCACGTGTATGAATTATCTCTCATAAAGCGTTATTATGAACAAAGACGATATTTGTCGCAAAAGTTGCGCAATATTTAGAATTATGACTTTACGCTGTACAAAATACATAAAACTATATTACAAAATATACAAAACTATGACAAGAGATATGAGTGTGTTTTAAGTCAGCGTTTCAAAGAATTAAACATATATCTAAAAAGATTGACGCTATCATTATTATCCTCCCATTCTAATCTATTTGCATGAACATCTAGCATTTGGTTCTTATTAGCCTTATCTCTTTTAATTAAGTTATTTACCTTTAGAGCTTTAGATATACATATGTTTAATATCGTTTTCGCTCGCGACAACGTTCTATGAGAGATAATTCACACACGTGAATGGCCGCAAAAGGCACGCGAAAGAAATAAACATACCAAAAAAAATGATAAATATTATAAATTGAAGAGATAACTGCATAAACTCTACCGTTTAATATTAAGCATTAAAAAGTTGCGTGAGCTTTTTCGCGGACGATTGACTCGAAATCTCGTATTATACAAAAACATCCCGCATGACACAAAAAGGGAATGCATCAACGTCACACATAGGATGAGAGGGTCTTTTTGTCCTGATATAAGGTCAGCGTAATGTTAACGGGGCGTAATTTCAGAAATAGTTCGGCTGTTCTGGAAATCGAAGCGCGCGGCGGAGGTGTGTTTAAACACCGGGTCTCTCTCTCTGCCAGTAGGTCATGGGTTCACAAGCATCGTCGCTTCGGCGTGCCATCGCCGGGAACCATTCATGGAACTTAGGACGACCTTGTACAGTCGTACGCAGAAATATCTCGCCGATTTTGGCGTTCATCTGGAATGAACTCCTGTAGGACGAAGATGAAGACGCGGAGTTTCCATTCGAGATCTCGAACACCTCTTCCGCAGGTGACCTCCTCTTCAGTCCAAGAGACCGTATAGGCCAGGCAGATGAAATTACACATAATTGGTGTAGATTTCTCGTACTCTATACGAGATATCGTCTTCTCCAAAAACATTCAAACATACTTTGCCTTTTCTATAATACTTCTACTTTTCTAAATCTGTCAATGTCTCGCTATATAAATTATTTAACAAATACTTATACCAAAATCATCATCAACAGGATGTTGATGTATGGAAGGTAGCTCGGTCATCCTCTCTGGTCACTTTTAGAAAAAGAGGAAGGTGAAATTCATTCATTATTAAAGTCTCCTTTATCGATAAAAGCGCCTCTGAAAGTAGTTTATAAGCCTTTTGATTGGTGTCACGTTTAGAGATACTTTTAACGATAAAGGAGACTCGAGAATAAGAGTCGCAGAACAAGAGAATAAGAGATCAGAGAACGCGAGTACATTCACTTGCAAACTCGTACTCAGCTTTGCTCAGAGATGCGTCAACGTTGCGACTAGCCAATTCTCCGATACAATTAATCGAACCAATTGTCAAATAATTGCGTCTGGCAGAAAATCGAAGCTAACTGACCGTCCATTGTAATCGCTTAAAGTGACATTGTCAATTCCGCGACGGTGCACATTTTCCTTTCTCCGTCGATAACGCGTGTCATTACTTTAATAACGTTCTTTTCTCCACGGTTGCTCGCCTATTAATATAAACGGTATCGAGTACTACGAGAAGGGAGAGAAAGAGGAGCAGACGGAGATATCCTTCGGAGCGGGAGAGGGGATATAATTCAGCGGAATTCCGGAGCGTGCCGCGGAAAAAAGACACCGACGGTGAGACGAGCGAGATCGCCGTCGCTCCCCTCTGTGGCGCTCTGCCGGATGGAAAGTCCCATCAATATTTTCCAATCAGCATTCGATTGCGCGGTATACCCCGCTTTCGATAGCGGGACGGGGGAGAAAGGGGAAGGAAAGGAGACGGCCTCGTTCCTGCCGGGGTGACGGAGGAGGACGACGCGGGGCTCTCGCGGAGGGGTCGACGCGTGGGCGTATATGGTAGCGGTATGCGCGGCATAGTCCGCATAGCGTCGCGACGCCCCGACGCCATATTGCATTATTAAGCACCCCCTTCCTCAACCGTTCCCGCATTCCAACATTATGAGCGTTTTTATCCCTAAAGGGCGCCGAAGACTGCGGGCGAAAGGACCAGCTCTTTCCGCCGCCGTTGACCCGCGCGCCGATCGCCGCTCGCTCGATCAACCCTGCTCGGGGTTCGTTAGCCGTCGCGAGAGCCGCCCCCCCGAGCGCCACACGTGTGTGCCCTTCGCTCGAGAGGGAGCGCGATGTGATGGTCAAGACGGAGGAGAAGGGAGAAGGTGAGGTAAAATGTCGTGGTGTATGATACGGAGAAGAGGGAGTATGGGTAGATTGATAGATGAGAGAGTGTCTGGGGGATGTTCTGATGACGTGAATATCCGAACAAATAGAAATGAAAAGAAACAGGGAGATATATATATATATATATATATATATATATATATATATATATATATATATATACAGGGTGTCCCGTATATATACTTTCACAATCTCTCGTGAGGACGTAGAGCGGGTTGAGATGAATACAAAAGTCCCATACCGTTTTGCGATATTCTCAATAATAACTGAGAAATTAATTAAAGAAGATTGGTGAATGATCACGCGCGATATGATAGATAAGCTGCAGTGGCACCGTCTGCCGTTATATAATTATACATTAAGTCAAATTGAACAAAAAAGTCTTCTATCATTTTGCAAATAACCATATAGATTTTTAGATATTAATTAAAGAAAATTGTTACATAATTGTGTACCATAATGCACAAATTTTTTTTAATTAATATCTAAAAATCTATGTGATTATTTGCAAAATGGTAGAGGACTTTTTTGTTCAATTTGACTTAATGTATAAATATACAACGGCAGACGGTGCCATTGCAGCTCATCTACCATATCGCGCGTAAATACGATATATGCTTCTTTTTTTCATCATTTTCTCACATATTACTTTATACTGCTATATATATATATATATATATATATATATATATATATATATATATATATATATATATATATATATATAT